TACAGTAAATCGGGATGACGTGCGCACGAACTCGAGTAATGTGCCGCTCAATGTTAGCTGTATAGAGCCCGATCCTGAGTTCCGAGACAGCTGCTTGACCTATGGTGGCCGAAGCTTGCAAGACGATCAGGGGCCAGTGTATGCAATGACCGTAGGCGCGGCTCAATTCGACATGCCCAGATTCCTACAAGAGGTGGCCAATAACGCTCTACATATGCCGTTTGTGAAGGATTAACAGAGCTTCCAACTGTCTGAGTTCGATAGTCGATGAATAGCAGTCTGGAAAGAAATGTCGTGGGTTGCAATGGGCGAACTGTTGATGAGGTGCTGGTGGTGGGTCGAAGATAGAGTGGGGTGGTAATCGGCACGTGACGGTGCGTCTTTCATCCAAGCTTTCTTCAGCCGAGGTCCATCACATGTCTTGGCAATAACATGCAACTTCAAAGTTGTCCGCGAAACGACATGCTCTCGCTCCTTTTCCAACGCCCGTCCCTCCACCCAACATGTCCCCCCCCGCCCAGTTCACGTATCCATTTGCCTCCTCCCCCGACATCATCCGCTCCCACCAGAAAGATGCCTACTTCTCCGGCGTCCTCCTCGAGCAGCTCTCCACGCTTCTTCGCAAACTCCACGGCGCACGCGTCGCGCATACATACAATTCCGAGACGCGCGTTTTTGGTGAGCTACTGTACCTCGGCCTGACGACGGCGATTGGGAACCGCACGCTGGGCGAGGAATACTGCGACATCGTGCAAGTAGAGGGCCAGAATGGACGGCTACCGGCGCTGGGGAGGAGGGCTGGATACATCCTGGGGTGCATATTGGGGCCATATGCACTAGCGAGGGTACTGCCAGTGTTCCGACGGAGGATAAGAGCGAAGCTAGAAGCAAATCTACGCCGACACGCACGAGTCCAGGCCAAGAAACAGCAATCCTCGGACCACAAGCTGGACCACCCGACCCCACCGATAGGGGCCCGCATCCAGAACTACCTGCTCCAAAACCTGGATACCATAACCTCGCCCTCGCCCATCTACGCACTCTCATTGGCGACGTTCTACTTCTCGGGCTCATATTACCACCTTTCGAAACGGATATGGAACCTGAGGTACATCTTCACGCGGCAAGTGACAGACAGCGACCAGCGCGTAGGCTACGAAGTGCTCGGCGTGCTGCTCGTCCTCCAAATGACCGTTCAAGCCTACTTCCACCTCCAAACAACCATGACTCGGGACACGGCAAGTTCAGGACCACTCGGCGCTGGCACGGGCGCCACCGCCATCGTGGGTCCCGGCGTTGAGGTCTCACTCGATCCCAACGCCTACAGCACTAATAATGCACTACTGTTCGAAGCCGGGAACCCTGCCTCGGCGCCCTCGGAGCTGCAAAAGTGGACCCATACCCCTGCGTTGGAGACACCGCGATATACGCTGGCTGACGAGGGCACGATGGCCTGGATACCCGAGAACAACCGGAAATGCACATTGTGCTTGGAAGAGATGAAGGATCCAAGTGTGACGACGTGCGGACATGTGTTTTGCTGGACCTGCATATCTGACTGGGCAAGGGAGAAGCCTGAGTGTCCTCTTTGTAGACAGAATTGCCTTGTGCAGCATGTGTTACCGTTGCGCGGTTAGAAAAACATACAATTGGGTAGTGCGATATCAAATCCGAGTAGATGATACCCCGATGGCTTATACATTAGTCTCTATCGAAAACACGCAACGAACAGCGCTTGAACGCTCAACTACAGTGACTCCTCCATGCCTTTTCATATAAAACTATAACCCCCCGGGTATCAATACCCTCCCACCATCTGTATCTCACTCGAGCTCGCGCTGTGTGATCTCCCCACAGCCAACCCCTCCCTCCGCCTCTCTTCCCTCAAACTTTCCACATCCACCTCACTGATATCCTGTTCCTGTATCTTTTTGGTCCTCTCCACTGTAATCTCCGTCGTCTTCACGACCTCCATATCCTTCAGTGCAATACCCAGATCCCCGTCTTCCATCCTTGCGTACGCCGAATTGCCCATTGCATTCACCGCGCCTGCCACGGCGACGCTCTGCGTTTTCTGGTTTCGTCGCGTTGTGCCAAAAGTAACGGTGTTGCCGTTGTGGGTACGCGAGCGCGGGTCGCTGGAACTGTCGTGGATACGGCCTTGGAAGAGATCGAGGAGTTTGTTCAGGATAGAAAATTCCATCTTGAGTTTAATGCTGTAGACCATGGCTTTGAAAGTGGTTTGGAGATCGTAGAATCCTGCGTACTCGATACCCAGCAGCGCGATGTCGAGAGCGATGATGATAAGATTCACCCATACAAGGTGTGTCATGATTGTTCTTGAGTTTCGTCCCAGAATATTGCCCTCCGAGCGGAGAAGCCTTGTTGTTTTGAGGACGTAGACACCCGAGATGATGACTTCCTGGACAAAGAAGATGGTGATTTGGACTTTTTCGTAGATGGAGTAGGGATTGAAGAATGGCTCCGGGTTTTTGGAGTTGGCGCCGTAGAGGAGAACAATGATGGGAATGTGGCAGATGATAGCATCGAATATGATCATAGCGAGCACCCAGCGGAACTTCTCGATGACACTCCGGGTGAGAAGATGCAGACGTGAATATAGGACCAGGGATTGACCGGTGATCATGCATGGCCATCCGATGGCGATGAGGGTTAAGTAGAGTGTGGGTGCTTCTGTAGTCAGGTTATAGAACTTGAGGAAGAACCCAACACAGTACGGTGCAATGCCCCACGTGGCGACGAGGAGGGAGTAGAAGTAGAGACCATTGCGTCGTTTGAAAGTTGTGAAAATGACAAGTGTAAGTTCGACGACGTTGTATACTGCAACAGCAAGGAAAGCCATGATGGCTAGGGCGGTAGGATATGCTAGCACATAGCCTGCGCCAATGCCACTGTCGCGAGCCATGGTGAAGTGTATGGTATGAGGAAGGCGATTGGGGATAGGAGCAAATTGAGGGAAGATAGAAAGACAACAACTACACTAGTTCGGGGTCTAGAAGGGTTGTATGAACCACGGGGATTTACCAAAGATGTAGAACATGGGAATTTGAAAGCTAAATGTCTCATCGTAGGGACAAAGAAGATGCTCCAAAGTATATTGAGGAGGAATCTGACTCGATACGAGATGTGTAACGAATGTTGCCTGCCCAGGTGCCATGGCGATGTTGAACCGTGATAGATGCTATTTAGAAGCCCCTTCCACCACTCAAGAGAACGCCGAAGAGCAAGGTGCAAGGAAGGATCTGGGCGGATGCATTACCTTGCCGTTAATCTGTTGATCATTGGGACTGACATGCACTGATAGTCCGGGGAAGTGCGCCGATACCTTGTCCCCTGACTCGAAACAGTTGTTCAGCAGGTGGTTGTGCCGTGCTCTTGGAATGGGAGAACGACTGGAACGGGAAGTCTGTACAGATCAGAAAACGATGGAGCCGCTGGAGAGAGCAGTCTTTGACAATAATGCTATTGTCCTTCTATTTTCATTGTCTCCCGCTCAGATATAGTAAGGACCCTTCCGGTAGCGTTGGGCATGATACTTTGCGTGATCTGCGTTTGAACCAACAGTTCTGGGGGATCCAACGTAGTGGACGCGGGGAAGTCTCCGCAGCTTTTCTTCGGGTTCCATTAGTAGTCTTTGTGCCGTTTCCTGTCTCCCGTCATGCGGCCCAAGGCAGGGTCTAACTCTGTGGCTGCACCGGGGAAGGAAATCCGAGTTCCAAAGTTTAATTCTGAAATGCGTCGTTTACAGAGCCAATCAAAGGAAGACAAGTAATGAAATATCAGTGGCTGATACTTAGGCCAAGCCACAAAACCCAGCTCTGCCTGTACAAATGGCACGATTACCGTGGCGATGGGAAGTTACGCAAGCAATGGTTTGAATAATAGGATCGATATACGAGCGTCAAATGGCTGTGACTTGCAGACACCCCTAACGCCTCACTGCAACCTCCGACTTCCTCATCGGAAATGCCTCAATTTTGTCAGCCCGAGCTTCTTGTCGGAGTCGGAGCAACCACAAAGATCACAATGCGAACCCGAAGAGCCCTCATATCCAGAGCCGTCTGGTATTCCAAATGGTTCAATCTGTTCAAGGGAAGGGTGCCCTGGCATTGTCTTATCTCTCCTCAAGTACTGTCATCCTTGAGCCAATTGAATACACACGAATCAGATTCCCAATGGCGAAGACGGAGACGGTTGATCGTGTGAAGCAACGTGAGATTGAGGATCCCAAGGGTTCCATGTGTTCCCTTTCGCTCTATTCCATTTTAGGAAAGGTTGACTTTCCCTCGAGGTGTGTCCACGGGTGGACATGACTACTTCCCGTTGCTGAAGTTCGATCTCATGTAGCTGACAGTGCCATGGCCTATCGTGGCTAGCTGAATTGGGGACACAAGTCAGAGACTCTTTTCGTGAAGTAGCCAGCTCTGTTTCAGAGGGAATTCCGTTAATTTGGCAACGAAAATGCAAGACATTGGGAGGCAGCAATGACGTCTTCCAAGCGATAATCGTCCATATATACTATGGCAAAATGAACCAATGAATATTTGGAAGAAATTCGCGTAAATACACTTGACTTCTCAACACAACGTTCATTAGAAAGAAAATGCTAGAGATGAAGCGCTGATGCGTCGCGTATACATAGGGGCGACCACGAACATCGTGTGTCAGAGACGATAGAGAGCCAACGCCCAAGCGGCTTGGAAGAATCAAACTCGGCAACAAGATTAATAGAATGTTAGGGGTTGCTGTTGTGTAGCAGTGGAGAAATTATAGGGGGAGAGAATAGGATTCGTCGTCATCACTCCAGTAACTCACATTGTACCTTCCCTCCTCTTCTGCTCCCCCTTGCAGCACCTCCTGACTTCGTATGTCCTCATTCTCGTTTCCCCAGATATTATATACCCTGAAACAATGGCTCTCCACTTTCACGGGAAGATAAATACTACTTGTGACAGCAAAAGAACATATCAAAGCAAACATCCGAGTTCGTCTCGTGGTTAGGATGTCTGGCTCTCACCCAGAAGGCCGGAGTTCAATCCTCCGACTCGGGATACTCTTTTTGCTTTTCTTTTCGTCTTCTTTGGGTTGTTTGCAGATTAGAGAGGAGAACATTTGGCACCGGAGTCGTTGGGCAAGAAGTAACACGATGCAGCGAGAGAAGATTTGAGGGTTGAGTGAAGGGGCTATGGTCAGAACAAGGATACTCTGATAGATTAATGTTGCATCCAGCAGATTGTATTTGTTCTCCAGTCCAGAAACACACAACATTACAGACAGACGATGAAGAATATCGGAACGTAAACTGCCCAGATATCCAGTGTTTGGACTAAGTGCTCACCCCAAGACTTTCCCATATCTCAATCATGCTTGGCGATTGCGCTGGATAGATCAGATTGCCCATATGATAGACTTGAGCCCGAAGCTCAGCATTGAGCAAATTCTGCAAACCGACAGAGCTTATTTTGAAAGCTCCGCATTCCCTTGATATCCAACGTTAGCTGTCTTCAGCTAAGACCCATATTTTCAGGGAACGCTTTCCAGGCCCCTAGCTCTTCGCTGCGGATCAGGAACACAATTCGATTGATCAGTTTTCCTGGTGCGGTGCGGGGTCCGAAGGGATCGCGGAGGCGAAAAGTCCCCCAGGTTGAGGAGGGACCGACGATCTTGAGGATTAGGCGCTTGTAGTACACCTCCACCAGCTCAACGAAAAGCCGCTTTCCGATGAAGTCGGGATTTAGGCGGTGGATAACTTTGAAAGATTGGACGCGCGACTGTACATCTGAGATGCTGAGCCTGGAATCTAGGGAATGAATAGGCAGGAGAGCGTAGTAGACCAGGTCGCGAATTTCTCGAGGGAAATAAGCGTGGACTTGGTTGCAGAGTTCAAGGCAGAGGGCTTTCGCGTAAATCGACAGTTGATGTTGCACGTTGCTGGTAATGGATCAGTAGGTTCGTGGTTGCAGCTGGTATATGTACTGACGCTTCGCACGAGATGCGGTGTCGTCGGAAGCCCAACTGCTGTAACTTAATCTTCTCAATGGCTGCAAGCATTCGATTCATTTCTCTCGTGCTAAAATCCATCGTGTTGTTCCATTTGTCGTGTTCTCGGAGGGCACCATATCCTGGTCAGCTAGCTTCCCAGTGAACTATCCTTGGAATACTTTGATGGTACTTACAGCTCCACTTGTACCTTTTGACTTTCTAAATCCATAATGAGTGTAATATGGTAATACGACGCCCCTCGATACTGTAGTGTTGAAGCGTAGAGGGCTCGCGAAGACGATGCGTTCAAGTGTGATACAGCACGTTGCCGGTTTGGTCGATGTTGCCTTGTCCCATGTTCAAATCTGATGAGCGAATAGCAGTCGTTGATTCACCTCCTCTTTAGCTTAGGTTTCATCAATCCATAGGTTTCATCAGTCATTGGGTACTCCAAGTATACCGTCCGAGGTATTGACGCAAGAATGTGCTTCAGCCTTGCATGTCCGGCTCTTCGTCTTTGATAGATTTCAGATGGCTATCAAGGATGGTATTTCTGAGGCGGCCAATTTTCACTGGTGTGCCATGTTCAAAAGTTCTCTTGACATCAATTCCCTCGCCCCAGGATAGACATGACATCGGTGCACTGGAGATTTCCAGCTCCAGCACACAGCTCAATGGTCCTGCAGGACGTCTCATCCACTTGGAGAAGCCATCTGGTGCCCGTGGTGTTGTGGTGATGAAGGATCGGTGAGTCATTTCGTGTTCTCGGTACGTCCGATCCTCCGTGCCGACCGTCCATCCCATCCTGGAGGGTACGACAAGCTGCTCCAACCACTCCACAGCGGCTTGCACAGCGCGAGGTCACGGAATAGGAGGTTTGCACGTTACACCAATCAACAGTCTTGGTGGGTCAGGGTTTGTTTTTCAGGGGAGGCTGTATGCCGAATGTCGGGGGCTTGTTCAACGACGCTTCGGGCAGCTTGCATACCCTCGAGCCACAGGACAGGCGTTGCCTGATCAAATCAATCCATCGACGAAGCTTGTATGCACATTGAACGGACGCAGGGTGATCGACCGGTATCCGGCTACCGGAAACGCAGCGCCCGAGAGCCCAAATGGAGTTAAGGCCGGAGGAACGATGATCATGAGTATGAAAATGGAGGTTAAAGGAACACGCGATGCTGCTGTGCGGCCATCTGAAATCCCCGCCTTTGCGGCTCTCTTGCTCTTCTTCTTCTTCTTCTTCGTTTTCTTCTTCTTCTTCTTGTGCCTCTCCTGACTCCCCTTTCTCAACGTGTGGAGACGTGGCGAGTCAGACTTTGGGGAACGGCAGCTCCCGCAGTCGGACCCCCGAATGTTGTGGGGACTAGGTAAGCGCTCGCATTATATTATTGAAGGCTTGCACCTCCACCTCGATACCTACGAATTACACGGTGCGCCTTGTCGACGAAGCCCGACCACTAACAATGACAGCCTCGACTAGATTGCAGCGCCTTCATAGCCGCATCCGGCACATTGTCCAGTCACGCGCGACGCCATGGACTTGAAGGAGGAGAAGCCCGAGAAGGCGCATGGAGCAGGCCCAGACGCCGAGGCGCGATCGCCTGGGGAAGCAGCAAGAGATGACAACATCGATATCGAGAAAGCCGCCCAAAGCAATGTCGGCTCGGCGCACAGCGAGCTTACGCTGGAAGAAGGCACGTCTGCGGACAAGGACAAGGAGCAGCACGACTCCGAAGACCCCAACATTGTGGATTGGGATGGGCCAGACGACCCTCAGAATCCCATGAACTGGCCAGCAAAGAAGAAATGGGGCGTCATAGCTGTGCTTTCGCTCGTCACGCTGATCACGTGCGTTCTGCAAAATGCCCTTCCCTCTCGCTCTCACCGTCTTGGCTAACCCGTGACGGACAGTCCACTTGGCTCCTCCTTCTTCGCCCCCGGAGTTCCCCAGGTCATGAGTGCATTCCACGAGAAGTCCAATCTGCTTGCCGCTCTTGTGGTGTCCGTATACGTTCTTGGATTTGCCATTGGCCCCATCATCATCGCCCCTCTGTCCGAGCTATACGGCCGTTCGCCTGTCTACAATGGCAGCAATGTGCTCTTTGTCGTCTTCACCATCGCATGCGCCGTTAGCACAAACATGAATATGCTTATTGCATTTCGGTTCCTCGCCGGCTGCGCGGGAGCAGCCCCTCTGACCATTGGCGGAGGTACCCTCGCTGACATCATGCCGCGTGAGAAGCGCGCGGGAGCCATGGCTATCTGGGCCTTGGGACCCCTTCTTGGGCCTGTTCTCGGACCCATTTGCGGCGGCTTCCTGACGCAGGCTAAGGGCTGGCGTTGGGTGTTCTATGTACTCGCCATCTTCAGCGGGTTCTTTTCTCTCTTGCTCTTCTTCACTGCTAGGGAGACATACGCACCTGTCCTCCTCGCCCGCAAAGCCGCCCGTCTCCGCAAGGAAACCGGAAACCAGAATCTGAGAAGCATAATGGACGACAATACCCCTCCCAGGGAAGTCTTCCTGCGAAGCATCGTGCGCCCCATGAAAATGCTCTTCTTCTCCCCCATTGTCTTCCTCATGTCCCTCTACGTGGCCGTAAACTACGGCATTCTCTACCTCCTGTTCACCACCATAACCTTCGTCTTTGAGGACCAGTATCATTTCTCTGCCGGCTCCATCGGACTCTCGTTTCTTGGAACCGGAATTGGAATGTTAGCTGGCATGATGGTCCTGGGCGTCATGAGTGATAAGATTATCAAGAAGCACATGGCCAAAGGGAATGTTAAGCCGGAGCATCGACTCCCGTTCATACTCACACTACCCGGCGGCATTGCTTTACCGATTGGGATATTCGTGTACGGATGGACAGCAGACAAACACGTCCATTGGGTTGTTCCCATCATCGGGACTGCTTTCATTGGGCTGGGGAATCTGTCGAGTATGATGACTATCCAGACCTATCTAGTCGACGCGTTTACCCTTCACGCTGCGTCGGCCATTGCCGCCAATACCATCCTCCGATCCGTCTTTGGAGCCGTACTGCCACTGTGCGGACTGAGCATGTTCGACAAGTTGGGGCTAGGATGGGGCAACAGTTTGCTTGGATTTCTCAGTCTAGCGCTCATCCCCGTGCCTGTAATTTTCCGGGTATATGGGGAGAAGATAAGGACGAACCCGAAGTTTCAGGTCAAGTTCTAGTCCAACGAGAACACCTCTGTATAAATAGGCTTCATTCTCTCAGTACGCAGCATTGTAAATTACAAATTTTTCGATTCTATTGATCAGTCTAAATTCCAAACCAACTTCCACTATGTTTCAATTTTCCGAACCTAAGCCTTCTTTGCTCCTTTAACTCTCCTGGCCACCTTTCCTCCCAACCCCGCAGCCTTTCCAAATCCAAAGCTCCAACCCTTGATTCTCACACTCCATATAAAGAAATAAACAAGCGCCCAATTGCTGATGCAAAAGGCCACGAAAATGCCAAAATCGCGCCATTTGTCGTTGGCCCTGATGTTCAATGTCGACAAATAATCATCCCCACTGGAATACGGACAGTACTTGCATCCACTCGTCGCTTCTGGATTTAGTAGATACCCCGGCGCAGTGGTCAAGAAGTCTGCCGTGTACTGCGCACAAGTCTGGCCAGACGGAGTGTTGTACTGTGCGGTTTCGCTGACCAGGCATTGAACTGGTACCTCATGGAGCGTTGCAGCTAGGATGCCGCCGATCCAGTACGTAGATGGATTGACATAGTACATCCAGTATTTCCAGAAGACGCTCAGTTGTGAGTACGGACGTACAACACCGTTGAAGAGAGAGAACATGACAAAGAAGAATGGCAGAACGTTGGATATGACTGTGAAACTCGGCGCGAATGCACATACCCATTGACCCCAGGATGCAGTGAAGAGGTAGAACAGCATCGTCATGAGGAAGACGTAGCCTGCAGTCGACGAATCGGTAGGAAGACCCGTAGGATAGTACCACAGTACCCAATAAAGCACAGACGAAACGATGGCGATGGGGATCTCGGCCACGACTTGGGCCGTGGTGAATGCGAACCAG